AAAGGAAATGTTCCTAGAAACCTTGGTATAAACAATATGTCATCCATGGTTGTCTTAATGTTATATATTTGTAAATTATTTGTCTCTGCCATCTTAAGCTGCTCGAGAGAAAGTTGATCTGACAATCCCACCAAAGAGAATGCTGTCGAATTTAAATGATAAAACAAACATTGTCGATCTCGATCTGATAAGGTCACATTTCAGACGAAAGGGTTATTTTGTTTAGATAATCATTGCTCAATATCATCAGTTTCCAATTCAATACCATTAAAAACTATATTGGAAATGTAACATCAATTTGTTATTGCAGGAATGGCTGATGAATAAATTGGATAATATTAATGGATTAAATATCATACTGAGTGCTATTATCTTAATTGCTTTTCACTATCCATACTTTTTTTAGAAGAACTAGGATATATTTATTATCTCACATCCAATAAATTAGAATTCTGTTGACCAATTAGAGTCGTATCGAAAGTTATGTATGTATATAGGAAGGCTCCTGTGTTGTATAATGAGATTGTCGGTAAATAAGAGATAATGGCTTAAGATGATAAAAACCAACGCCACACTCCAATATACAGTGTCTCCGTTGTTAATAGCTAAACTCTAAGGTGTGATTCTTGACAAAATTATCAACAAAAAAATCATTTGATGTATTACGACTCTGAAAGGAAAATGTTTGAAGACCAATTTTGTGTTTTTCTTTAAAGGCTCGCATCCGATCCTTACAATCCAAAATCCTTCGTAAAATCCTCAATGCTCCTTACTTTGTCACTAATAAAATTATCCATAAAGATCTTGATGTTCCTTATGTTTCAGATCTGGCCCAATCCAGATACCTATCCTTCCATAATAAACTTCAGAATCATCCCAACCCTCTCGTTTCTAACCTTGCTTCCTCTTCAATTCCTGATAAACCTCCGAGGCGTCTGAAAAGAAGATGGCCCCGTGATATCCTAATGTAGTCATATCATTAGAGTGCTACCATTGGGTAGTTACTAAGCAAGTGTATCCATGTCATTATATCTATTATGTCCAATTTTACTTGATGTATTTATGTAATACAGTTGTAAATGTCATTAAGAAATAAAAATTCTTTAAAGGTGGTCATAGTCTTCTTGTAAAATAAAACAAAAATTTCACCAAAACTGTTCGAGATAATGAAATTCTAAATATTACTTTACATCGTAAAGAAGACAAAGGTCGTTTGAGAAAACATTGATTAATTTTGAGCTTAGAATGTAAAACATCTAAAAAAACATTAAGCTTAGAATTTAGAATAAATTGTTATCAATGATTATCACGAAAAGGACAGTTCATGTCCTCATAGTCTTTCCGAATTACTTGGAGGAAGTAATTCGGAAGACCTAAGAAATAGACTAGAAATAGGAAGACCTAAGAAATAGTTTGCAGCGTTGTGTGAGAAAGATATTATGACAATGCTTCTTCAGACATCTGACCCAGAGCCTGCTTTATGAAGAAAAAATGTAAAAAGGCAAAGAAAAATGAGTCCAGACATTAATGAATATATAATAGAGATTATAAATTTTTTTTATAATAGAGATTATATATTCTTATATAGTGGAGATTATTACAATTATCAAATAGACATTGGTTTCGATATAAGTTTACATTCCGACCAATCCACAAACAATTCAGACTCTGAATAAAGAAATTATTTAATAATTTAATAGAAAATGATATTATAATTACTACATTATATGTTACAGCAATATTACATTTTATATTACATTTTATAAAATGGTTATTCCTGATATTACCTACTATATTATTTCCATTAATATTATTATTGGACAGTGTTTGAACTTCCTCCCGCAGTGCTACATCCTACGCTCTGATGAAGACCTGCAAAGTGGGTCGAAACGTCGGCAAAAATTAAATAACACTACTTATTTAATTTAGTATTTATTTGACCGCATCCCCCGATCAACTCCTTCTCATAATATTATTATAGTTGTATAGTATACATTATTATATGGTTAATTTGTTTTGAGTTGAAATCAATTGATAAAAATGTTTATTTGAACATAACTAGTGGTTAATGATTTGTGTACATTCTCCCCACTACTTGGTAACACTGTACGCCGTGTACTGCTGTTGATACACTAGCCATATCCGACCAGCATATCTCTGTAATTCGGTGAAATAATTCGGCATAATGGTACAATTTGCGTTATTAGATCTCTCGCAAGTCCCTTTTATTATTGACCTGAGCAAATTAAATCACTCGTTTCATACAGAAAATTTTGTCTGCTTTAAGATAATTTACATACAATTTAATTATCCTTGAATGGTTTTGGGGAAATTCCTTATTATTCAAGAAAAAACGTGACCAATTTAACAAAAACACAAAATTAGTCTTAACTCATTGGAATATTGATGTCATTGTGTAGAGTTGTGTTGGCTACACAAAAGAGATCAAATACTGTTCGAAAAACTTATAAGTAGAAGGATTGAATTTAGTAATTTGTTTAACTACTCACCTATTTCCTTATTATACCTGTAGTGTTTATCTCTACTTGGTTTCTCGCTTTACCTGTTAGTCTCCACTTTATGTCTTTTCCAATCTCTGACTTCTGTCCGGCTATTCCTATTAATCATATTTTTGGCTACCTCTTTTAATTTTTTTTTTATTATCTGTCTTCAGTCTCTTTTAATCTTTCATTTTTTTTTTTTAGTTCTGGCCAACACTGGTCCTTTTACTGGACAAAAAGCCATTAATCCATACTCATTTAATCTTCTCCGAGCGGTACATTCAGAAATTTGCACACCTCGAAATTCTTCGAGCTGATGAATCGCTTGAACAACGGTAAGGTGCCGATTTCGTAAAATTCTCAAAGTCAAAAACCGGTCATCCCTTGGTTCTGTTGCCCTAGGCCATCCAGAACCGGGCCTTCTATTGTAAGAACCAGTTTCCCGAAAACGCCTGACGGCGTCTCGTAAAGTTTCATATGGAACTCCGATGGCATTAGCTGCATATCTAATGGAACGCTCATCATCAATAAGTGCCACACCACGCGCAACATCCCCAGCACTAAGAGGCATTTTTAAACTTAATATTGAAAAAATTAAAAGCCGGAGACTAAGAAATGTGCTGCAAGAAACGGAACTGAACTAACGATACTGAATAAACATTTTGATTCCATAGAAAGTCTTCTTCTTCTTTATCTTTTCCTCTTCTACCGTTGAGCGGTGTGAGGAGGCTTCTTGTAGAGCCGAATGCACAACTCTCGATCCTGAGCCAACTGCCGGCTCCTCCAGTCAATATCCCTTCTGTCAAAGGCCTAATTGACACTGACCTCCCAGATCTGTCTGGGCCTTCCCTGAGATCTTCTTCCCTCCACTCTACTTTCCAACGCTATCCTGGCCATTCGATTCTCTGGTATTCGAGAGACATGACCAAACCATCTCAAACGATTTTCCTCCATCACAGTTTCAGCTGATCTTAAGTTCAGATTTTTCCTTATTATGGAGTTTCTTATGCGATCTCTCTTTGTTTTTCCTTCGACCCTGCTCAAGAATCTCATCGCCATGGCCTAAATCTGGCTGATGTGCTTCGTGGTGAGGGTCCATGACTCGCTGGAGTAGGTCATTATCGGGAGGAAAGTATTTTTGTATACTGTCGTTTTGGTCTCTTTACTCACTTCTCTCTTGTTCAAGAATCCCTTCTTGATGGCGTTGAAGGACCTTCCTGCAGACTTCACTCTTTTCTTTATTTCTTCGTCGATCCATCCATGTTCATTGATGTGGGCACCGAGGTATTTGAAAGTTTTCACTTGTTCCAATGGGACTCCACTCAAATGCACTATTCTGTCTCCTCTTCCTTGTTTCCTGCCAATCCTCATAATTTTGTTTTTTTCCACATTTATTCGCATGTTTATCTTATTTGATTCTTCCTGAAGAATGCGGAGGTTGAATTGCAGGTTTCGTCCATTGCTTCCAAAAACCACCAGATCGTCTGCATAAGCAAACAGAGAGAAATATACAGGCTGTAGATTTCTGTATCCCACTTGATATGATCTCATATTTTGTTTTGCTATTTTTATTGTATTATCTAGCACTAGTGTAAATAGCAGTGGACTTAGACTGCACCCTTGCCTAATACCTTGTTTAGTTGTGAACTCTTGCGATATATTATTGCATGTTCTCACAACATTTCTTTGGGCCTTATAGAGACTTAGAATTGCCTTACGAAGGCCCGTTTCGATGCCTTTGTCTTCTAAGGCTTTTGCTATGTCTTGCTTCTTCACTCGGTCAAATGCCTTAGTGAGGTCTACAAAACAGGCATATATTTCTTTGTCCCTTTCTATTAATTTTTCAGACATTTGTCTTAAAGTAAATATGAGATCCTGGGTACTTCTATTTGGCCTACATCCATACTGTTCTTCACTCAGGGAGGATTCCACTGTTCTTTGTAGGCGTTTCTCTAAAACCTTGGAGTATATTTTGCTCGGGACACTAAGAAGAGATATCCCCCGGTGGTTTTTACATTCCCTTTCTTAAATATTGGCACTATAAAAGATACTTCCCAATCCTTAGGAATATTCTTTGTTTTCCACACAAGGTTTAGAATGTGCTGGAATACTTCTATTCCATTTTGGTTCATATACTTGATCATTTCAGGGGCAATCCTATCTATTCCTGCTGATCTTCCTGTTTTCAATGTGCCTTCCATAGAAAGTAAACATTTTAATCTAGAATCATTTCATTGAATTACGGATTAAGGGTTATTGTCCTCTATATTAACATTCCTAATTGAAAACAAACAAAAAATTACCTATTTATTCATTAAAAACAATAGACTAATCCAAAGCAGAAATATTTTTAGATGAAAACATGAAAAAATCAAGTGGGTGGAATTTTTTGCCTGTCAGTGTATAATCTTACATATCTAACTTTTTACATTTTTTTTTTACATTAATAATCAAAAAAATAATTTGATAGTGAATTATCTTTGGGCCATTAAAATATTATTCAATCATAATAAAGATTTATTTAAGCTCTGTAATATCCAACACTTATAGCAGCTATACATTATCAAGAATTAACGATGTTAATTTTCTTCTATTTTACATACTGCAGGAGAATGACCAAATAGGTTGTACCAACTGCGATCATCTGAAAAAATATTTAGACTTCTTGAAATAAACTGATATAACCATTATCACAACATAATTATTACCATTATATAAATTGGCTGAGAAAAAACAGTTCAAAGCCATTTTCTTATCTGTTTCGCAACTGATTTTTTTTTGGGGGTGAAAATTTCTTGAGGATCATTTTCAATTGTTTTGTGAAGCGTGAAGCAGATTTTCAGAATTTCGACGTGTAACGCTAAGCTAAATTCGGCTGGTGTCGACTGATTAAATTTTTTTGCATATGGATTTAAATATTTCAAAAAGTAAATATTGGACCTGCATATTGTTAGTAGGGGAAATGTCCATCATTCTTTCTTTTTTGTAATGAGCTATTATTCAAAACGCGACGCCGTACTAGGGGAGCACAAATATAAAATAGTTTCAAAAACCAAATGGTAACGAGTTTTATGAAAGATATGTATTTAAATATTTCAGAAACTAAAATTCGGACCTGCATACTGTCATATAGTGAGGGAAATGTTCAGCATGTCATCCTCCGTATAACGAACATTTATTTATAATTTATATTTCATATTATTAATTTCGTATTGTTGATGTTTCCACTGTCGTATGGTCTAAAGCACATACCTTAGTGTTTTTTTTTAGTTGTTGAAGAACTTTGTGCAAAAAAATGTTTTAATGGTGTCCGAATTTTATTTGCTATATCAAAATAGCTCAAAATTAGTCGAAAACGAAGCTCAAAACTTCAGATTATAAAAACTTTACTTACAGACTTTTGCAGTGTATCTGTCGATATGCTTTCATCACTGTTTCAATAACTATTATGGTCAAATTTTGGCCACTCAGTGGACACTAGTTTTAATAAATTATTAATGTAGTTTTTAAATTATATAATTATCTACAAAACATTCTCTTTTTTTTGTTCTTCCCTTTTAGGCTTTACGGGATTAATGCAAAAAAGTTAAAAAGCCCTACCGGCACTAAGATACGAACTCGTAATTATTTTATCTTATAATTTCTATTATCAGGTTGGCGGGCAACATGGTTCCCACCGCATCAACACACTCGAGCCGCACAGTGGTCGAAAAAGTCATAAAAACAGTAAATACCCTGGAAAACCTTCAATGTAGGCAAGATATTTGAAAAACATAAATTATTATTAGAATATCTTCTCATACTATGAAATCGCCCTGTATTATGAAATGACTGTTATTAATAACATGTATTCTATGGCAGATAAATTGGTTGTTGCTTAGTTCACCATAGCCTAATAAAGACCTCAGTTCATTCTCTTTCAACAAGATCTCGACCTTCTGGCCTCTACATCCCTTCGCACAGATCTGCCTCATTTCAGAATTCCTTCATAGCTCGCGCTGTCAATTTCTGGAATTCTCTACCTATCAAAATTCGGCATTCCCCCTCCATATCCACATTCAAATCCTTCCTATTCCGATTCCTATCCCAAAAACAGTGAGATACTTGCTAAACTTTCGATATTATACATTTCTAGTCATCATCGAATGAAAGTGCTATTCTATACTGTGAACCCCACTAGAGATATATAATATTTTCCGGCTCTTAATACCATTATAGGTGTGCATGTGTTCTTTTTATTTATTTACTTTTAGGTTATTTTGTTCTTATTTATTGTATATATATTATTTTTCTGTATAATTTATTTTATTTACTGTACATAGAGTGTGAATGTGATCTGTGAACACTATTATTAATGTCCCTGAGACAGATTGTAATATATTTCAATAAATAATTTATTTATAAAAAATACCACTGACTGCATCTATTGTTTGCTTTTTTTATTTTTATTTTTTATTGGTATATAATTAAATCTGTACCTCTAGCATTTGACAATGATGAGTCTACATATTAATCATTATTTAAAGACACTGATATTTTATATTGTCAGCTTTATTTTTTCTTTGTTAGCAGAAACACACCTCATCTTAAAGAAGAACTCAATGTATTTTTTATTATTTTATTTTTTAAAAGAGTATAATTATAATTTTTCCTACTGTACTTAAGTGTTTTTTCATAGTTTTAAGTGTTTTGTATATAGATTTTTTTTTTGTATATAGCTTGTTTAACTAATATTTTCTTTACTTTCTCTTTTTTATTATTGTTTTATTTTGGCCAGATGTAGTATTTTAATTATGTTCTATTTTGTTATTCTAAAGGGACTTTGTCCCAGAATAAAGTTATTTTCTATTTCTATTTCTAAAAGACCTTTATTGAGAAGTTTTCTAAAGAAACAAGAAGCGTATACTTACCGATCCAATTAGTGAGCTGTTGATTTGAAAAAATCCTAAAGCAGTAAAAGTAACGTCTCTCTTCGCTATCATGTGGAACTCTAACATCTTCTGCAAATAAATGATTAATTCAATTAACGCATATATTTGCAATATAGCGCATATATAGCGATATATACTATATTGCTATGTATCCAACAGACTAAATAAATTTAGAATTTAATATTACGAATATAAGCGGTTACGAACCACTTGGTCGATAGAAAGAGGCGTACTTGTAGAATTGAAGAAAAAGAATCTGGTGGGTCCACTCACACAACTTTCACACAAGCCTATTTCAGAAAAGTTTTTATACCTTTAAATATATCCATTGATTGAAACAGGGCTGCTGCCTTCCATCCCTGATTTTCAACATTTAAAAAGAATAAGCCCTTAAAAACTGGAAAAGATCGTGCTGTGGAATAGGTGTTCAAATCGGGAATGATGTCATCTACAATTTGCAGTATGCCGATGATCAAGTCATGATCGCATCGGATCCGGATGATGTTAGCTATATGATGAGGCAGTTGCTAGACACTTGTTCCAGATGGGGTCTGAAGATCAGTGAAAGTAAAACAGAGCGCATGGTTTTCAACGCTCCAAATTTGCCCCTTGAAATTGATGACTGGACGCTAAATATCAGCCAGCATTTCAAGTACCTCGGATACTGGTTATCTTCGAAGGGAGGTAGTGAGGTTGATATCGAACATAAAATAAATAATGGGAAAAGAATAATAAGTTCGATAAATCCAACCCTATGGAGTAAAGAAATAAGATTAGAAACTAAAAAGAAGATATACCATTCCTTTGTAGAAAGCGTAGCCACTTATGGATCAGAAGTTTGGACACTGACAAAAAAGATGGAAAATAAGTTGCTTTCCATGGAAATGGATTTCATGAAAATGGTAGATCATGAACAAATAAATGGAAAATGGTAATGAAATGGTAGATCATTGTAAAAGTTTCAATATTGCTAATCAAAAACTTTTTGCTATAGCTTCATTTTGTCACACAATAATTTCTTTTACAATTGTATGATAAGCTTGTATGATGCGGGCAACAGATTTTCTTACTTTCACTTATTTTTCTTTTTTCTCTCTCACCAGGATATGAACCTGGAATATTACATACGAAATTGAATAGCTTTGAATAGTTACTTAAAAGTTGTCCGAAATGAACGATTTTTATATAGTTTTATAGGAAATTTCATTACCTTAAAAAAAAAACTGCCAAAATATGTTTTTCGGAAAAAATGACTTTTTTTAGGCCCTTAGTTTATTTTTGCAGTTTGGCCACTTAACCCAGAAACAGGTTCATAAAATGTAATAATTACTAATTAATATTATCAATGGATACTTACATCATCAGGATTATCCAGTAATCTTCTATACAGTAATTTATCAATTTTCTTTGCCTGAAATAATCAGAATTATTTATATAAAACAATTTATAAAGTAACTTAAATTTATAAACTTATGTGATTTGTTTATTTATGAACTATGTGTATCAGATTGTTCTACAACTGCTCAGTCAGAAAATTTTAACAGCGTAATAATTAAGAAAAGACTTCCTAAGAGATTGCCATTTGAGTTAACTTTTAATTTAACTGAAGTAAATAAATTAGCTTATCTATAAAAAGAGTTTATTGTCAAATCTCTCGGGGAAAATTCCATAATAATGAAAAGATACTTAAAAACAATCTAATAATTTATATACATATTTACAGCAGGAGAAATATGCGCGTCATCAGAGTCGAAGACAAAATCCTCGAGCTGGTAGAAAACTTGGGCTCACACACTAATGAAAATAGATACATCTATTCAGAGATGACTGAGCTAATCACTGCTGCGAGCAGGATGTTTGAAGCAGTTAAGAAAGGTTTTCTAAACAGTCGTGAGGTGAAAAAGAAAAAAAAAGTAGCTGTTTTCAGATCGACATTTCTTCCCATTTTAACATACTCTTCAGAATCATGGACAAAGAAACATCAATAAAGGATACAAGCGTTAGAAATGCGATTCCTCCGAAAGATTGAGGGGAAAACGAAAAGAGATAGAGTACGCAACACCACCATCAGGTCGAACCTCAATATTAAGCTGGCCAATGCTGTGACTGAGATGGCTAGGACATCTTCTGCTGATGGAACCAAACAGAATAGCTAAACTTATCGATCTAAAGTAGAAGGCATAGAGGAAGAGGGCGACCTAGATGGAGGATGAGGTAAAGAACGATTTCCAGAGAAGAGGTCTTCAATGGAACGATAGAAGGCGTCTTGGTTTGTTGAAGTCCGGCAGTGCTGGAGAAGGCTCTATAAACATCCTCCTCACACTGCTTAATGCGGTTCAAGAGGATGGATTAAGATGATGACATATTTACAGAAAAGCCTATTTACAATTGTCTGGGAATAGAATAGATAAGAAGTGATTGAATAGGCGAAATATAAATGTTTGTAGTAAATGTTCCTAGGAATGAGAATCGTATAATAAAAGGTATGTCGAATGTCGCGGATCAGTGTATATTGATATAAAGAGTATTGCGGGAATGGACAGAAGATTTGATATGAAGAAGATCAGAGGTATATGATGGAGAGCGGGATTAAATGACTTGGTAGAGAAATTATACTAGGAAATACCTACGAAGGTAGGAAATTGAAATAACCCGAAGATGAAATATATAAAGCATGTTGATGATTTTAAGTGAAGATAGGATTTAATCAGTTCTATTGTTGGGACCATAATCATTGGTTTGTGATTTTAGAATACCGAAAATAAAAACGTCAAAATAAACATCCTCAAAATAAAAATATAACGTTTTCACTATCTGACTGGTTTTGCAAAAATGTCCATAAAAATCGGGTTGTGAACCGGTCGTCTTCCTCTATTTTTATTGTTTGTTTTTACGGATTCCATATACAGTGCTATAAGTGATCTTGAATTCGTCTGCCATCTTAATGTAATAGTGATTATAACCTAGAAACGTTCTTTATCGATTGATGATTTAATACTTACTTCAATCATGACGTAGTTGACAGATGTGATCATTCTAATGAGTGGAAAGCCTAATAAAGTTATGACTGGCACATATATCACTCTTGGTCCGAATTCAAAAGTTATATATATATATATCATGCAATAGAAAAATGTTATCCCCATGCTACAAAGTATTTGCAAACTGAAAACTTTCTCTAATGGCTTACAAAGATATGTCAGGATCTCTTTCTTCTTAAGAAGTTCCCTGTTATCTGTGATGTACTTTAAATACACAATCGAATTGGCTGTTACAGCTAGAAAACTGAATATCTGATCATAAAGGCTGTAAATACTAATATATGTCCACATAAATTGTATTAAGAAGTTTCGAGCTTCATTTGGATACATGTAAACACCAGTTACGAAAACCTGTAGAATCAAAAGTAAGTTCAAGTATTTATGTTTCCACTTGTAACTGAAATCATATTCCACATCAATGCTTCGATAATATTTTCCAATATGACTGAATTTAGAATAAACCTCTTTCATGTGATAGATCTTAGTGTATAAACACACAACATGAATAATTGGCAGTAAAATACTTGTAACAAACATCAGAGAAGATAAATTTAGGTCAATCAATAGACCTACATCCGAAAAATATATGTATGCTATGCAAGTAGCAAATAAAAATATTAGCCGATATGGAACGAATTCACCGTTCTGGTTGATAGGAAACGTTCCTAGAAATCTAGGTATAGATAACAGGTGATGGAGAGTTGCTGTTATGGGAGACATTTCTCCATTATCCATGTCTCTTAGCTAATATCTCACAAACAATTCACTAAACAGACTGAATTCGAACCTAGGCATACGTCACCGACCCCTTTCTTATCGATCATGTTTTCATTATATCGAGAAGGTTATTTTATTTGGATACTCTTTGTACCATTGTTTATTTCCATTAGGTCTAAAAATAACATAACAATGGCGCACAGTGGTCTGAAAGCGACAAAAAAAAAAATATTTTCAAGGTGTTATGATAATTAAATTTCTATGTTTTTATTTTCTGACATAGCTCATATATTACTAAATTTTAAGATCGAATAAAAAGATCATTTTCCAAGATATTCAATAAAATACAAATAAAAAGCCTGAATCTACCATATTAATCATGCAACTTGTTATAAATCACTAAATATAATATAACCGTTGTTTAGGAAACACATCAAAATTTAATTTGAATTAAATCAAGAAACCACAACACAGCTGTTATCTCGAACATACTCCATATATACCTCAGTTGTTATTGTGACGCCGCCATTGTTGAAGCGTAGACGCTCACGTAGAGTAAGAGATTGACTAGACTGGCCAGTTTAAAAATTTGTAATTCCACTGATTTACTAAAAATGGAGTAAAAATCTACATCGGCCGGCAAGGGGCCAAGAAAGGAAGAGAGAGAAGATGAACAAGAAGACTGGCAACTAGAAGAAAAGAAAAAATGCAAGTATCCCAACCCACCTATATTTAACCTCCGTATAAAACTACATGTAATAAAATAAAGCAATCAATTTTACATATTCACTTCTTTAATCCATTAACTTCTCTAATTTTACAGTCAACAGCAATAAATTATCACCAGCGCTTAAAGCAGAATTATTATGACAATATCCCTGACAGTCTTGGAAGGGATTGGCATAATAAAGTAAACAACCGTTTTTGCTGAATTCCAAAAATAATTATTTGTTGTATAATCTGTTAAAACGAGTCAAATACGTTTTTAAATAATTTATTTCTTAATAAATTCAAAAACCTAGTATTTTGATGGAATAACTTACCAATCAACGAATCCTGAAATTTTGTTTTTTCATTAGAAAGTACCTTGGGGCCAACAATCGCCAAGGCATTACTGTAATTAAAATATTCTTTGAACCCTCTGCTAATTATGAATACAAAAATCTGCTGTGGTTATTTGAGGTTGTGTCGTTTATCTTGTAAATTCAGTCAAGAAAGCTATACGAAAAACTAGCAAGAAAAAATTCCTACCTCTATATAAATAAAAGTACGCATAATATAATTTATTCCTTTCCGTCATTGAAAACTAAAAAACGGGAAGAAACAGAAATTCAAACAATTTTATGTCTCATGATTGATACTGGGGTACAGTTTTCAGTTCAATTCCGTGTATTTTGTTTTATCTTCTTTTAGTTGTAAATGATTTGATCTTCTTCTCTTATCAATATGTCATCAATAGAGGTAATAGATATTTATAATATATCCATTCAATGACCTTTTACTATAAATTATCATTTTTACAACATATTACATGCCATGTACATTTTATTTATTATTAAAAAAAATTTAAAATAATAATAAAGGTTTCTTTTACCAATATGTTTTTTTATATTAATTCAGAATGCCCCTGATGCTATAATAAATTCCGCTTTTCAAATATGTTGAATAAATTTAAAGTTTTTGCTTTTTCTATGTCTTTTCGACCACAGTGCGCCGCTCTGTGGTAATGGGAGAATAAAAAATATTTTTAAAGATATTAGAAAAATTATTTTCTTATAATAATTGTTAAATAGATTTTGTTTCTTATATATACTGTAAGATATATACTTGTGTTGTATATATTTTAAGATCTTGCTGAGCCTTCCTTAGTCCTGTTGATCTTTTATTTTTTTACTTTCAATCGGGGTGGTGGGGCTCACCTCTATTTTGATAATTTTCTGACAAGACTAACTTAAAATCTAACTTATATCTATATTTTGCCATCACTGCCACGTTATCGTATTGAATTCACTGATGGTTAAATATTTTAACAAATCATAGACTTTTATTATTTTTCTGTTTATAAATTCAGATACGCTGTTAAAATTTAAGATGCCGTGTAGTTTATCAGATTTTTCTTTTTCAAATGATTTATTTTTAGCTATTCTTTTTAAACTTCCATTTGGGAATTGCTGAAGTCTCCTGCTTGTGTTTTCTGAAATGTGGGAGAATAGAGGAGCATCGTAGAGAAGAGAAGGGCGAAGAATGCTTTTGTAGATGGATAGTTTTAACCTGAGGCTCAGCTTTGAGGTGGTGAGGAGTTGACTGAATTCGTAGGATTTTTTTTTTTGTTGCTTTTGATATTTTGAAGTGGAATGAGCGGTAAATTTGATAGACATCTCATATGAGATGTCTATCAAATTTAATTTTGAGATATACCAAATTGTTTGATATTTTGTTGTATGAATCGCCAACTTGAAATACGAAAATATCACACAATCTTCTTTGTTGAATTTACTTGTATATTTAGCAATTTCAGTTCATTTTTATGATAGTGTAGGCCTTTTCCACTTGTTTTAATTTTTTTTTTTTTGCGTTCTTACTGCTACTGTATAAATCCGTTTTAGCGCCGCTGGAAGGCGACGAATGTCTAAGATGTATGTGCAGTAAAGCCTCTTCAACTTCATTAACATTTTGATTTTTAAAAAAATTATTTAATTAATCTCATTTATTTAATCAATCAATCACAAATACTCGATCTTTCTATGCTATCCATATTTATCCTATATCCTATGGTAGTTAACTAATGAATTTTACTAATTCATTCCGAAATATTTTTCATTGAGAACGAGTCTTTCATATCATGAAGCAGTATTTTATTTTCACTTACGGAGACGATACAACAATTCTAGCAAGACATAACAATTCTATACATATCCCACGGATTTTAAAACAGCGTCTAACAAAACTAAATGATTGAATCAACCAAGATAAATCCCGACACATTATTTTCACTCTTCGACAAGAATATGTCTGACAATGTCCAAATTCCTCAAGCAGACAAATTATATTTCCTTGAGCTGATGTTTGACAGAGGAATTACATGTGACCCAAAAAACATAAATCAACAAAAAATGAAAACGTTAAACTTCAGATTGCCCATTACTTTAAAGGCGCTCAAAATTAAACAGAAAACAAACACTTAGATTATTTTACTTAAGCCATTACGAACCTACGTTTCAAAGATCAACCTACGCTAAAACGATCCACCCACGAAAACTACAAACGTTTCAATCAAAAACATTCAAGGCTATAACTGGATCATCATCGTACATCAAAACGATTACTTTACATAAAGACCTTCGCCTGCCAACAGTTAACGACCAGATATGGACCCACTACAAATATACACGCATACGAATATACACAGAAAACACTAAAAAGATTTCACGATGGACATACTAACAAACTCATAAAAATATGTCCGAAAACACATTTAGAAAGCTGAAAAGAAGCTGGATGAGGGATCTAGGAAAGGAAACTGCTGGGAATGCCTCTCCCTCACGTCAATTTAAACGAGAGTGTTTTGACATTATTATAATTATTAATATTTTTCATTTTTGAAGCGATTATTCTTTCGAATCAACGTTTTGCAATATACTTCGTGAATAAGTGAATATTTTTTTAGTGTTTCAAGCAAAAAAATGTATCTCGAATAAATACAAAAAATATCGATAACAAAATCTTCGTTTGGACATATCTTCTGAACGCGTTCTATCGTAAATCTAAAATTAGTTTTAATAATTATAATTTTATCATTATCGCCATTACATTTGCTGATTGTCAACTTATTGTTGACAGGCGCAAATACATATTTAATTTTTTTTTTTTTTTTATTTGTTTATTTAGAAATATTACATTCTGTCACATCAAGGACATTTATAATAGTGTTCAGAGAAAGCACACTCACACTCTATTTACAATAAAAAAAAAATAAAATAATACAGAAACTTAATAATAATAAATACAATGAATAAAATAAAAATAAATACAATAAAATAAAATGAATGTATATAAACAAAAGAACTAACCTAATCATACACACTCGGGCTTGAGTGGAGGATCTGGCCATTGCCAAAACTCCAATAGATGCTTATTTACAAAAGGTCTCTGGGCCACTGCCGCTTCAACCTTCGAGGAGGATTGTAAGGATGGGTGGTGCTGGATAGAGATTGTGCAAGGGGATTTGGATGATAGGTAAGGTTCTGGTGAAATTTGGAGAATTTTTCTGGAATAAGGTCTAGGACAAATGGGATATTAAGGTCATGGTGTAGGATTTTGTTATTTACATAGAACGGAGCATCAACTATTGTTCGAAGGACTTTAGATTGAAAGGATTGAATACGTTTGATGTTAGAAGCTTTTGCTGTACCCCACAGTTCAATACATATTTAATAGACAAAAAAAAAAAAAAAAGTTTTATCATTGAGACAAGGCACCTAATAAAAAAATTTAGGTTCCAGCTTTAATATTTATTTTTATAATTAGTAATTTACTAAAAAATGTAAACAACAATCTCGATTTCTTCAGTTGGTTTGCCTTTGACTTTCTTAAAATCAAGAACCAAAACAAGGACGATTTTGTGGTGCAACGTGTGTTAAACCTTTATAACATCAAATTTTTGCATCAAATCTTGCGATTTCAATTTTTTTTTTCCTATAGGAAATTTAGATTCCTTTGAAACTATTTATAACAAAAATAATGAAAGAAGTGTATTCTATTTAATTCTTTTACTTTTTCTTACCAGTTTTTTTTTTTTCGTTGAAGTCTGTTATATACATAAATTTAAAGGGCTTCAATTAAAATAGTTAAACCAAGTTTCAGTAAGGTAATGAGGCTGCCATTTTGAAGGAAAAGGGCAGATGATAATACCGAGTGCCGAGGATCATCTTCGGGTGCCCTTTGACGTTGACGCCAAATCTAAAAACCATCGGTCCTGTAGTCTCGGAGAAAAGTCCCGGACGAGTAAGGGATAACTCGCGACATCGGCTAAACCTTTTTTTATATAATAAAAACAATGTCTGTATATTCTGCCAACTGAAAAAAAAAATAGATTTAGGCGATGTCATGAGTTTCCCGTTCTCGTCCCATTATGCGGCAGATTGATGGATTTGTGAAAATTCGATTTAGATATTCTAAGTATCTTGAAACGTAAAACTTTAAATTTAACTTTAACTTGTTTTTCTTAATGGTCGATTAAATGTTAATTATTTTAAAAAATAAACCAAAAATGAAAAAAAAAGTTAATTATTGCTCTCAATTATTACTGAATATTACTGACCTGAGAAATTATTGACAACAAAGAACCATGCATCATCAGCAATGGGAATAGGAAAGCAACAAGTAGGCTTGCTGTGTGTAACGGTTTCACTCTGGGGTTAGATAAATAAAATAAGGTCATTACAGTTGACACAAACGATGAAGCAGTAATGGCAAGTATCTGCGGACCGAAATATTCTTCAATATCTCGGCGTAGGAATATCAACTTCTCGAAGTTCTTCAGGAGTTGCCTGTCATCTCTGATGAATTTCAGTTGTGCAATGGCAGATGCCAAAATAGAGGTAGTTCCGTAAACTTGATCTACAATGGTATAAAATACGATGTAAATGTGAATATATCTGACGAAACTCCAGATCGTCCGTTCCAAGTCAAAATCAAACAATGTAATTCCTAACAGAGGTAAGACTAAAAGCAAGCTGATGTATTTTTTCAACCAGGTGTAGCGAAAAGTCCAAACCACACCTATTCTGCGCGAGTACTCTTCGAATGCAACTAGTTCATTTAATAAATTCTTCAACCGTTCGATTTTGAAATATAAGGATGCGAAATTAGCGAAGCTCGGGGGTAGTAGCAGACCCCAATGGAACAACATGAGATAAGCATGATGCATGCCTCTCATTATCAAGAAATGTTTGTAGAATCGGTAAGTGTCCAAGATAAATTGCAATATAAATATCAAGAGACTCCATGATAGTTTGTAGTTACGGTCGACTGGAAATGTACCAAGATGTCTAGAAATAGAGAAGATTTGTTCGAAGGCTCTCTCTACTCCACCATTGTGCATTTCTTGAGCCGTAGTGATTGTTGAGCTGGGGGTTGCTGAAACTAAATGGGACAAACTTTCACTTGATGCAATGTCAGATCGATTAATCGATTAATGATATTGGAATATATTTTTCTTTCATTTTGAGCTTTATTTGTTATCAAAATATTGCTCATTGTGCTAGTTGAAAATTTATTATATTATTGCTAGGTGGATGGGTAATCTCTCTAATGGAAGGCTACCTACTCTAAAGTTAGAATTGTTATATAAATATGTCATAAGCGACTCACTTGGAACCCCCATACCAGACTGAAACGACTAGAAACCGCCCGACGTTTCCGACTACTCCAGCACTTACTATACAAACGGTCTAAACTGCCAACTATTTACAAAAGACTCATATATATTAGTATAATAAGGCCTATTTGGACTTACAGGATCGAGCTTTGGGGCTCTACTAAACCATCAAATTCCTCTCGTATCCAATCCCCACAATCCAAAATCCTTCGTAAAATCCTTAATGCTCCCTACTTTGTCACAAATAAAATCATCCATAATGACCTTAATGTACCATATGTTTCCGATTTAGCTCAATCCAGATACCTGTCCTTTCATAATAAACTTCTGAACTATCCGAACCCTCTCGTTTCCAGCCTTGCTTCCTCTTCTATTCCTGATAACCCTCCGAGGCGTCTAAAAAGAAGATGGCCTCGGGACCTTCTAATATAGAAATATAATTGGAGTGCTACCAATGGGTAGTTTCTCCTCATGTTGTACATGTCATATTACTTGTTCATATTTACTTGTTATATTTATTATTAATTACAGTTGTAAATTTCGTTAATAAAAAAAAAAAATTGTCTCAAATGATGAAAAATAATATAAAATGCCCTTTTTATATGTAATTTTATTATAAATCTGTGTCCCGGAGGTAAATGACTCCATATCCATTTTTCATTAAATAATTTAGTTACTAAAAAATCTGGTTTGTCCACTCACACGACTTTTTTTACCTATTTCAAAAAGTTTTTATATCTTTACATATGTTCATGAAGAAACAAAAAAGAATTGAACTAGATACATTTTCCTGAAAATTGATCAAACATAAGATTTGAGTACGATTTATTTGATAAACTAAAGCAATGTAAACCGGATTAAGGCCCTATAACATTTTTCTTTCCTTTATAACTTTTTTTCCTGAATTTGTTGAGAAATTTAATCTACATACGAAATTTGAAAGAACAATGATTAGAACATTATAGGAAAGTTTCATCAAAATCATTAGAGCCGTTTTTGCGCTACAGCCTAAAGAAACACATGTTTTTCATTTATTGCGCGCAAGCTATTGCGCATGGAGCACCGAATTTCTGTCACAGCCATCAGTAGTCAAAACCCTACAAAATAAGAAAAGACGCAATAAAATCGGTTCAGTAGTTCCCGAGAAAATCTTGGCACAGACAGACAGACAGACCAATGGCTAAAAATGTGTTTTTCGGACTCAGCACGCTCTGAAACGTATAGATCCGTCGAAAACCGCATGTCGGAAATTTGACCCGATTGCAATACTTTCCTTACCTAGTATAGGTAGGAAAGTAAAAACTGATTTTAATAGATCAAAGTTATGGAAAATTGGTTACCCTGAAGTAATATATAAATGTGACGTCGTGTCCTGTATAGATATTTAGTTACTACGAAACAAATATTAATGGTTCAAAGTTATGAAAAATTGGCTCTCTGAACTAAAAAAAAAACAACTAAAGTGTGTGCTTTAGACCTCACGATAGAAGTGAAAACATTAACAAGACGAGATTAATAATATGAAATAGAAATTATATTTAATAGTTTATTATAAAGGGAATGCAATGCTGAACATTTCTTCACTTTCAGTATGCAGTTCCAATTTATAGTTTCTAAGGTATTTTAATCCATATGTAAAAACACATCAATTAATCGACTCCGGCCGACTTTACACGAACGTTATCCATCGGAATCTGACGGCTCAATCTAATTCATTCTTCACAAAAGAAATTCAAAACGCGCCTTAGTAATTTTGCACTTCAAAAATTTGACATGGTTTCTTTTACCTCCAAAATACAGATCTAGTAGCCAAGAACCTGATATTAATAGCTCAAAGTATGTAACATTGGCCTCCCTCAGAAAATAATGTGATGTGGTGTTCTTTACCTGCGGTGTACAGATATAGGCTGTGGATTAATTGTACAGTCTCGAATGAAATTAAGGTTTTAGCCAAGGAAATCTATCTTTATATTTAATATGAAGTTTTTCATATTAAGTTTAATTCAAGTTTTTCGCACTGGAGATCGATTTCATGTGCCTCAAGAGCGATGGATTCTGATGAATGGGTATCAAACGAAAATGTATTCAGGGAGCAGTGACAAATCATAGTCACATCACATCGCCCCAAAATTTCAGATAAAAAAGTTATGAATGAAACTAAACTTAATTTGAGAACAACTCAAAAAGTATACTTTTTTTCAATTGCACCCTTAATTATTTGAAAGATTACTAAATTCTCTTTAAAAAAATAATCATTTAAATCTAGTAGGAATATATACATTTAAAAGAATTTGTATTATCTAAAGGAGCGGAGTGGATCAGAATTTTTTAAAGAGAAATAGAGTTGAGATTCGTATTTAGCACCTCGAAAATCCTCAAATATAAATTTTCATTAAAATCGAAAAATAATTTTTGCTTTTCATAAAATTATCAATTAGATTCACCCTTGGATTTTGTTTACGAAAAATATACTTCACTTTTTCACGAAATATCGCAGGACCACATAATCAGCACTAAATAATACCACATAACATAATAACATATTACATCTGGAAAAATAAAATAAAAACCTTCGAGGAGTTCTTATTTATTTAATCCTTTTGGATAAGTTAAATTTAAAAGTTATTTATATGGAGTTGATGAGAAATAATTCAGCTTTCCAACGGTTGTTGTAACATTGAACTAAGAGAAAACTCTGAGGAGTTATGGATGTTTGATCGAACGGCAAGAAAAAAAATTCTAATGAAAAGTGAAGTGGTTACTATGGTAACCAGGTCATCACAGCACTATCTATATTTATTTATAATACTATAGGTTTTTTGTAGTGTAGATCCCTTTCCTAATTTATTTTATTCTCTTTGAAACTTTATTTGTTTATTCAAAAAGTAAATTTTTTTTTTTAAAGATGTCGTTGACAGTGGACCATTTGGCTAATAAGGTTTGCTCCGGCAGGCTGCGGTGGCTGGGTCATGCGGAATGGTATATACACAGCCCCTGCCGGAGCAAACCTGGTTTTTTCAGTAGCCTAATAGATAGTAGTACCAATAATAATTGTATATAATTTCATAATCCATTAAACAAATGGGGAAATAAATAATAAACTAAAATAAATAGATTTAATATTGAATTATTTAACATGTAAGAACAGAATTATAATAAACAATATTTTTTTTAAGGTCAAACAATTTAATTTTCTCCTAGTTTGCATATTGCAACAGAATGACCAAATACGTAGTGCCTGCTCCAATCATCTGAAACAGTTTTAAAAATTGTTAAAATAAACTTTCTACAATAATGCTTTTTTTTAATGTATTTTAAAGGTGTCAACCACCAGGGTCATATTCGCCTTATTTTGTTAATTATTAAATTTCATTTCCAATTTTGTGGGGTATCTGTAATAAGAATGGAGAATGATAAAAAAAAAATACAAATAATTTATGTGTACTTGACCGCTTAAAAATCCTCTTTAAATCTTTTTAACAAATTCAAACTCTATTTTCATTTCAATTAAATTTTGTCCAGTTTACAGTGAAACAATTGTTAATTTATTCATAAAAAAAAGCGAGACTTAAAAAAACACCAAACTGAAATTATCTACTCATCTGCCGAAAATCCGACTAATATTTATATGCACGTTTTTTTAGCTCTTGAAGTATGCTACCACTCTGCTGATAATAATATGACCTGTTGTCTTTTGTAAAAAGGATTATAAATAGGATCCGTTTATGAATATAAATGAGAAAGTGAATCAATACTTACTGAGCCAATAAGTGTGGTGTTGATCTGAAAAAATCCAAAAGCTGTGAAAGTAACACCTCTTTTAGCTATCATGTGGAACTCTAGAAGTTTCTGTAAAAGTAAGACACAATAAATATAAATATATTAGGAATAATAAGTAAATAGGTATTAGATAGTTCATTGATTGCCCGTGACTCAAGATCATTTCAATCACCTTCACGTATGTACGTGTGATATTGGAAATATTCCAGAATTCTAATTACTCGTGATTCAAATAAGTATAATTTTCGCTTATCATCTTCACTTCTTTCAACTATTATGAATGAATGGATAATTCTGTATTTTGTAATATATACGATTGCAAGAGGTCTGGCTATATCAAAATATTATTACATAAAGAAGAATAAATAGTAAAACACTACACAAATGTGAAAATCAATCGGAAAAATATTCTTTTTTCATAAAAAGATAAAATAAATATATAAATTATGATGAAAAAAAGAAAATACAGCTGTATAACAATATAAATAAAAAGTATTCACTTTGAAAATATTTTTAAAAAATTGAAATAAATATAAATTAAAGTAATTTAAAAAATATCAATAATATATTCCTATTACAGGTGTTATATACTGATAATACAATATACGATATAGCATGTACAATACAATGTAGCAATACGTAAGATGATCAGCTTTTTAGTCGAAGATGACAGAATGTCTTGTTGTAAACATAAACATTAATATTGCTCCTATTTAATCGTTCATAATAAATTATCTGATTTTAAGGCTTCCTACTGTGTAATAAAATATATCGTTTAACTTTGCCAGGTTTTCTATTGTTAATAAATAACCCAGCATTGAGTTGCAGTCTTCACATATTATATTTCTCTGTATAATGGTCTCGCTAATCTTTATACATTGGGCAGGCATAAAACATGGAATACATGTTCTAGCTTTTGGAAATTACATATTGTTAAGTATTGTTCTCTATGGTTTAGGCTACTCATATTTCTCTATTCTGAATTATATTTCGAATTGAAGGCTAAAGTTTATGTCGTTGAAAACGGAGAGATTTCGAAATGTATTTATAATGTCTTTGAGCCGTAGTTGAGAAATTTCAGGATTATGGTCATCATTGAGTTCCAAATTTGATGCTGAACCTACTTTTAATGGTTTTCCTTTTATCTAAGAGTATCCTTTTGCAATTATTCTTCAATCGATCGTAGCAAATCATTGGGATTATATCTTCAGGAATTTTTAGTAGATTTATCGAACATTCGGACATTCTTGTGACAACTTCTGCTTCCATTGTTAATCCTGTCCCTAAAGATACAATGTAATTCGGTGTATATTTGGTCCATTTGTAAACCTGTTCGACATGTTGATGTTGAGGGAGTGAGAATTTTGGTTCACCATCCCAATAATTTTAAGTAAAAAAGAAACAAAATTGATTACAAATAAGATACAAGAATAAATAAATTATTTAGAGTAAAACTCGATTAAGAAAATTCGAAAAGCTAGTTAGGCTAAGGCCTATAAGTAGGAACGTAAATATTTTATCACGATCTGAATATTCCTTTTATTAAAATTTTCATTTCTGTCCAGAGATGATTATATAGAAACTTTTTCTTGAATTTTATGATTCATTCAACTCTCTCATATGTATACTTCTATTTCACTGTGACTTTCTTATAAATTAGGATAGGATATATTTACTGAGTGTGAGTATAAATATATTTTATATAGAATATTTTTATAGAAATTTTCACATAGCTAATTAAACTATGAAAACATTGTGTATTTATTTTATGTTAGTGCAAACTACGAAAAATATTTTTCGTTTTTTTTTAACATTATTCGTTTTCATCTGGAAAAGTTATGGAAATGTACCTATGTTATGACACTTATCCACCTTCCATCCATGTTTAATATATACAAATTTTAATAAATCCAATTGTTTTGTTCAGATATTTTCAACTATTTCCTATTTCAATATGCCTATAAAAAAATTCTACAACTTCGAAACAAATATATAAATTTATTTTTAAATATTTAATATTACATTTGCTTAAATAAAAAATTTGAGATATCACAATATCATAATATTTCCCTTATTCATACCATATAAAATATGGGATTTTCAGCTCATGGGCTCCATACTATATTTCCTCGTCATTTAGATTAGAATTTTCGGATTCCAAAAACTTATCGATAATAATTATTTACCCAACCTTTAAAACTATTTTCCTGTAAATATCTATTATATTATTGAGGTACTTAACAAACAGGTTTACTTGAGCAGGCGCTTGGTATATACCATTCCGCACGGCAGGCTGTGGTGGCTGAGTCATGCGGAATGGTATATATCCAGCCCCTGCCCGAGCAAACCTGGTTTTTTAATAGCCTAATAGATAGTCCGTGATACAGACCCCTTTTTATCAAATTATTAACATCCATCTTAAACTTCCTAAATAATTTCATCTCATCGTAACCTACAACTACTGCATTTACGAAAATTCTCTGAATTGTTGCGTTTTCAATCAGAAGAACGGCAAACTTTGTCTATTTAATTAGATTCTAAAAACTAGCAAATACCCATTTGCTTGTCACTTGCGTAATTTAAGCACAAAATCAAGAGAAAAAAAGATGACCTTCAAAAATATTGAGCCCTTTGGATTGATCTATACCTTCAAATTGTCACAATAACGAGGTTATATAGGGTATACGGCTCAATATTTTTTGGAGGCCACTTTTTTTTCTCGATTGTGTTATCGAATTATCTTACGATCTAAGAGGAAAGAAAATGGCTATTTATAAATTTGTATTACCTAATTAAATAGACAAAGTTTGCTCCACTCCAGATTGAAAACGTTTCATTTTCGAGAGTTTTCGTAAATAAAATAGTTGTAGGTTACGATGGGATGAAGCTATTCACTAAATTTCAGGTGGATGTTAATAATTTGATAAAAGGGCGTCTGTAACACGGACTAGATCGGTTTCAGGCCAACTCTTCCTCGACATTGAAAAACCTGGAGCAATTCTTGGTCTTACTATAAACCAAAACAAGGCCAAGTATATGAAGGCGGGTGTGCGAGGTCAAACACGGGTAGATATGAGCATTCAAATAGCAGACTTTACCTTCCAATAGGTTTATTATTATTATTAAAACACTTTATTCAGAAATATTACAATTTGTCACAGTTAAGGACACTTATAATAGAGTTCAGAGATTGCATTCATATCGTATATACAAAAATATAAATAAATAAAGTAATAACAAAAGAATAAGAAGAAAGAACAAAAGAGTAAAGAAAAATAGATATATATATATATATATATATATATATATATATATATATACACATAAGTAAATAAAAATAGAAATAAAAGTAAAACAAACACCTTATATAAAACATACATTATTTACAATTTGCCAGGTGATCTCCGAACCAATCCTGTCCCCTCCACATGTGGAGGGAAAAGGGAGGCTTAGGAGATCCCTACGCTTCTCCCTCAGCCACTTCACTGGTATTTTAAACCAGCGGAGGATGAGTAAGAGCGCTACAGCCACAGACACTCATGACTTGAGTGTAGAATCTGGCCATTGCTAGAACTCCAAAATATCCATATTTACAAAAGGTCTCTTGGCCACTGCCGCTTTAACCTACGAAGGGGATTGTAGGGATGGGTGGTGCTTGATAGGGATTGTACAACGGGATTTGGGTGATGAGAAAGGTTCTGGCGAAATTTGGAAAATTTGGCTGGGATAAGATCAAGAATAAATGGGATATTAAGGTCATGGTGTAGGGTTTTATTGGTTACATAGAAGGGAGCATTGACTATTGTACGGAGGACTTTAGACTGAAAGGATTGAATGCGTTTGATGTTAGAAAATTTGGCTGTTCCCCATAGTTCTAGTCCGTAAGTCCAGATGGGTTTCAGTATTGTCTTGTAGATCAGTAATTTGTTTTCACCAGAAAGTTTAGATTTTCTATTCAGTAGTCTATATAGCTGGCCATATCGTCTGTTAAGTTCCTGTCTTTTAAGTCGAGTATGTGGATTCCATGTTAGTCGTCTGTCTAAGAGAAAGCCAAGATACCGGACTGTATCTGAGAAAGGAAGCTGGATGGAGTTAAAATAAACTGGTGGGCAGATATTCCAAAGGGAATTATCATGAGCAGAGAGTGTGGTGAGGTAGGAATTGAATGATTGGGATCTGAAGGTGGCTAATTCTATTTTTAATTTTTTACAGTGATAATTGTAGGAGTGGCCGTCGGCTGGATGTCTGGTACGTTGCCATAATAATCTGGCATGGCGTTTTATGTGGATTAGGTCAAGGAGGTGTTGAGGTAAATTATGTTTCTTAAGGATTTTTGAGGAGTGATCAGGGGAGGAAGCAGTCCAGACTGCTTCTTGAATTTTGGTAGTGAAGGAATGTACTGCATTGTCCAGGTCTTCAGAGGTTTTCAGGGTTACTCTGAGGTCAATTTTATCGGGGAGGATTTGATGAAAGAGTTTCCAGTTAACTGGGCCTCTGATGAAGGACGGAGGAGAGGGTTTAGGAATAGGAGCTAGTGATACTTGGAGTATTAATGGGCTGTGGTCTGAGGAAAGCTCGTCAAGACGGGCAACGGAATGGTTGAGAGCACCTAAACCATTATGGATAAAGAAATCGAGGATATCGGGATTACGGTTAGGATCAGTGGGCCAGTAGGTAGGTGAGTTGGGTGGAAGAAGGGTAAAATTTTGGGAATTGAGTACAGACAGCAATGTTCGACCACGAGAATTCGTGGTTCTTGAACCCCATTGTTGATGCTTGGCGTTTAAGTCTGCACCCAAGATGAAATGATGTCCTAAGGAAATGAGGAAGGAACTAAATTGGATATTGGAGATGGATTGGTTTGGAGGGCAATACGCTGATGCAACGGTAATAGGAAAGGAGAAGGTTTTGATTACGACTGCGGTGGATTGTAGGAAATCGTGTGTAGGCAGTGGGAGTAGGTGATGGGAGAGGGATTGGTGCACAATGACTGCAGTACCGGCATGTGCTCTACCGTCAGGATGGTCGGTACGGTAAGTTATGTATTGTGGTATTTTTAGGAGCTGTTTTTTAGTCAGTCGAGTTTCCGTTATTAGGGCTACGTCTACGTTCTTGTCTTGTAGTAAGGCTGTTAGTTCGTGTATGTGATTTCTAACACCATTCGCATTCCAAAGGAGAATGGATATGGGTTTGATGGAAGTCATTTAAGGATTTTTTAAAGGAGGGATAAGGTGAGATACTAGGTTAGTGAGAAGTGATATCAGTGGGGTAACAAGGGATTTAAATTCTGAAAGAAAGGATGTCAATAAGCTGGTTAGATCTGTAGCATTAGGCGGTGGAGGAACATATTGGATTTGATGTTGGTGAGGTTGTTGTTGATTAGGTACATTAGGTGGGATAGGATATTGAGATTGGGGTTGAGTTTGTTCTTGCGGCAGGGCCTCACATACATTAGTCGGGTCTCTACCCCCAAGTAGCTTGGCAAAAGAAACCTTAGAGTTCACAATTTTAGCGGGTCCTCTTCTTGGTTTAGGTGTATCATCAGGGTCCCTGGGTTTCATATATCTCGCTTTAAGATTTTTATAAATTTGGCAGCCTTTGTAGTTGGCTGGATGGCCTTCCAGGCATAGGGCACAGACTGCTGGTTCTGTAATTGGTTTATTACACTCGCCAGACTTGTGTGTTTTACCACATTTCACGCAGCGTGGTAAGTGGTGGCAATAAGACTTGGTGTGGCCATATGCTTGGCAATTATGGCACTGGATGAACTCTCTTTTTGGGTACGGTTTTTCGACCTTTACGCTGGTGTAGAAAATTCTATTCACATCGTATATTTTTTCGATCCCAGGCGATGGCTCTAGATCGACGAAAAATAAGGGCAATGGGATTTTATTCTTTACACCTGGTTGTTCTTTATTTTCTTTTAAAACATTGGTTATCTGACGTATTTTGAACCCTAACGCCGTTAACTCTTCTTTAATCACTTCTATTGGGGTTGAGGAGTGTAAATTTCTTATTACAACTCGTAGTGCTCTTTCCTGTTTCAACTGGTATGTGTGAAAGTCCGCATTTGTGTCTGTTAAATATTTTACGATTTTTCGGTACGCTTCAGGTGTGGCCGGTATTATTTTTGTATCATTTATTCTGTTTAGGCATGTATAGCTACCTGGGCAGATTTTATTAAGTTGAGTACACAACAATTGAAAATTTCTCAAATTTTTGACAAAGATAGGAGGTGGGCGTGGTTCTCGAGGTATAGGTGCATCTTCCATTTCTTCCCTGTCATTTTCAAGCACCTGGTATGGATTAGGTGTAAAAAATGGAGATTCCATTTCTTGTGAAGACGTACTTGGCAGTGGTTGAGACACAGATTCTTGAGTGTTCGCTGGAGGAGTTCCGGGGGGTGTTAATCGCTTACTACGACGTGTTTTCTGTTTAGGCGGTGAATTACGTGGGGTAGAGCCAACTGAATGGGACCTCTTAGTTGACATTACTTGGTGGTAATATCGCATATAAAAAAAAAGAAAGGGAAAAAAATAAATAAATAAATAAAACTACGTCTGCGTGTTATTACAATGGATGAACCACCGGCTGAGAACCAGCCAGTTACGTGGCAGAGCCACAACTGGAGAGGGGAGCCGTCAGCTGTTATGGCTATAGAGATTAAGCCTATAGACGCTAAATCACTAAATTCACTGTCTGTAATAGTACACAGTAAATAACAACACTACTCACTGTGGTGTTAGTCCATTGTTGTTGTTTTGATGTCTGCTTAACTAGTTTTTTTAAAAAAAAGTAAAACTGAGCACTTATTCTACTAAAAAATAGTAAAACTGTGGGACACGACGTGAAATGTGGGTATTCAAATCAAGCGCATGCGCAGAACTTCCAATAGGTTAAAGAAGGTTTTTATCTGGGTGCTTTAGTAAACTCTAACAATGATATGCGACCTGAGATAGACCGAAGTATATGGTGTCCAATAGGAGCTATTTCGGACTTCAAAGACACATAAAAAACAAAACATTTTCCGAGCAATACAGTGCTAATAAAATCAGTCCTAACTTAAGGTTCAGATTATTGAAATATATCGAAAACCATCGAGCAGGGTTTACTCCGATCAGAATCCTTCGCAGAATATTTAGTTCAGTCAGTGTGAACCAACAGTGGAGGTAGAGAACAAATTCTGAACTGCAGGAACTGCTCCATTACAGTAAGGTGATATTAACGATTCCTCTGGACAGACCATGTAACTAGGATGCCTGATACGAGAATATGTCATCCCGTATTTTTTCCATTAGTAATAATAAATTT